CGAACTGGTTTCAGTTACAGATATAGATTCCCTCTAAAGTTTACAGTTGCTTCACAGCGATATAAATGTGGAAAAGCTCAGGCGTCCACCTCTTAGTTCGCCTTTTTGTCCACCTAAAATATTCATAAGTATTACAAGCAATCAAGAGTTAATGAACAATCAACAAAGCATCCTATTACACTAGTAACCCCGCAATCTGATGCTATCATAATTTTCAGCAATGTCAGGAATGCTCACAAACCCCCAACATTTGCCAGAAAACTTACTACTAACTCAAAGTATCTTCCAAATAAGCTTCAAAATTGCATTTTTTTTTATCAAATGTTAAATTCAGTCCTCTATATCCGTAATACGCGCGCGAGGCTCAAACCTTTGTAGACTACTTTTTTTTTTTAATTAATCTACTATAAAATCATATATTAAAAATCCATCATCACCCTCGTGGCGAACAGAAATAGTTTTTGCAGTGCTACAATAATTATTAAAAAGTCGTTATGACAGCTATCCATATAAAATAATCCGTTAGAGATAACTTCGTCAAGATACATAATTTGTCAATTCATAAAAAAAATCACTGGATAACTGTTCAAAAGACAGTTTTAACGTGTGAAATGCAGTGTCTCTTAAATTCTGTAAGTGTTGCTAAACGTTTGATATGTCTAGGCATCGAATTGAAAACATTTATTCCTTTATAATATAATGAATTTTGTGAAGCACAAGTCAAGAAATGTGGTGTTCTTATTTCAACCGCGTTTTTAGTATTATATCTATGAAAGTCACTTCCTCTTTCAATTCGATCACACAAATATCGAGGCAGCAAACCGTTAACTACTTTAAAAATGAACACCATAGTCAAATATACAATTCTTTGCTTCACCGACAACCATTGTAAGGCGTCTAACATCAAAGTTGAGGAAGTGAATCTACTACATCTCAAAATCAAACGCATTATTTTATTCTGCAAGCGCTGTAATCTCGATATTTGTGTTGCATTGGCCAGAAATAAAATGGAAGGGCAAAAGTCAAGATGAGGAGAGATGATTGATTTGTATAGCTGTATTTTACTGGCAATAGTTAAATCGTTTTTCATTCGACATAGAATTCCATACTTCTTGGCAATTTTCTTGATGACATTGTCAATGTGAGAGTTGAACTTAAGTGTGTCATCAATAATCACGCCAAGATATTTAATCTCCCGAACGCGATCAATAGTCTCATCATCAATTACAACAGAGACGTTCTTATTTACTCGATTCCGCGAAATAACCATAAATTTAGTTTTACTTGTATTCAATTTCAACTGCTTATACTTCAACCATCTACTTAGAGAACGCAAATCTTCATTCAAGTGTAAAACGGCATCATCTAAATCCTTAGCTGCAATGAATAACACAGTATCATCTGCAAAAAGATTAATGTCGCAAAATCGTAAAACACGTCGCAAGTCATTAATATACATAATAAATAACAGGGGCCCTAATACACTTCCCTGGGGCACTCCAAGGGTATTCCCCACGGGACTGGAAATAGAATCATTAAAAACAGTCCGTTGAGTTCTGTCAGACAAATAGCTTTCAAACCATTTATATGCAGTACTCGTAATTCCAAAGCGCTTGATTGATCTTAACAATAAGGGCCTAGAAATTGTTTCAAAAGCACGTTTTAGATCAAAAAAAAACAGCAACAATCGTATCTTTACACTCCAAATTGTCTTTCCACTTCGCTAATACCAAATTCAACGCGGTTTCACAAGAATGACCTTTCCGATATTCCAATTGTTCTGGTATCAACAAACTATTACTATTTAAATACCCCAACAGCTGACCTTTAACAACAAGTTCTAAAATTTTCTCTAATGTATGCAACATGTTGATGGGACGAAACTCTTCGGCTTTAATCGTTCCAGCAACTTTTTGAATAGGGACCACTAAGGATTCCTTCCAAATTTGTGGCACATGTCCAGTTTGTAATGATTCATTAATAAGGTCCAGCAAGATGTGGCCAATGACATGAAAGCAATCTTGAATAACTCTAGCATTAACATTATCTACTCCAGCCGATTTTCCTAATGAAAAACAAATAACTCTAAGTTCATCTAATGTGATTGGGTGAAAAACTTCAAATCTACAACTACTATTAACTGGCTGTTTTATTTCGTCAGGTTCATCGACCAATTCAATAGATTGATCAATCAATGAAACGCTATCTACGAAATAATCATTAAACTTAGCTGCAATTACTTGTTCTGACTGTTCTAATGTGCCATTAAAAGTTATGGACCGCGGTTTGCAATTACTAGGTTTTAATAAAGATTTCAAAATTTTCCATAACTCTTTGCTGTTGTTTTGATGCTGATCAATCTTCCTTTGAACATATTCACAACGAGTTTTCTTTATCGATTGTGAATACTTATTACGCGCGATTGTGTACCTAGTCCAATGATTGTCATTATTAGATCTACAAAACTTTTTGTACAATTTGTCCCTTTTCCGTTTAAGACGCAAAAGATCCAAATTGTACCAGCTGTTCGAGTTTTTCAAAGAAACAAACTTTTGCTCAACTAGTTGATTGGTACACGTTTTCAAAGCGTTATTAAGAACAGCTGTAGATTCATCTAAGTTACCGGCCGCGAATGGAAACCTTGACAAGTCTCGCGTTACTGAACAGTAACGCGAGACTTGTCAAGGTTTCCATTCGCGGCCGGTAACTTAGATTAATGATTTGAACATTCAAATAGACCAATCTACATTGACCGATTCTCTTCATCGACTCTCTCTTTCGTTGATAACTTAGCTGCATTCATATTCCGGGCTAATTTTTCTACATGGTCAGAAACAGAAACTACTATTAAGCGTATTAGGACCGTTTTGTCGTGATGGTTGAGTAATGCTGAGCTATCAAGGTGTTTTACACGGATAAGGCTGGCGAGCTGTATGTTGTTTGGAACGGTGACGCGCTTGGCATAGATGGCCCACAGCGGCTCACGACGAGCAACTGAAATCCGATCAGTAGCGGTACAACTTCTTCCTCCTTCTTCGGCGAATGGACCGCTCAGAGGGCTGCAGTTCGCGCTTGCGGGCAGCCTTTCGTCGTGTACTGGTGAACAATCTACAACGCCACGCGCCGAAAACACTGCTGCTGCTGCTGATGATGACCACTGGACACCACGCGGTGAGACCGGAGTGAATTCGATTTTTAAATCTGTGGTAGGGAAAGCTCTTTTCGCAGACAATCGGTAATAATTTTCATTATTATAGCAACAGTTGCATTTTCGTGCAATTTTCAATAGTGACCTTTTGAAAATTGATGAAGTTTTCATTTTAGTAGGTTCGTAGATGACATTCCAATCGATTGGCTTGTTTAGAATTAATATCCATCCGCTTTTGACAGTGTTATAAGTGGTCAAATCCTGACCACTTTTCGTAACGCGGTCGATTTTGTTTTTTTGAAATTGCACCCCCAATATGTTGCCAAAACACGTAATTTTACGTCAAAACAATATTTTCCTCTTCAACTTTGTCTCAGACGGCATTTCGATCCGTAGTGCCATTTTCATGCTACAACTTTTTGAATAAAATTAAATATGCCAGTTTGAAAATTTTACTAGATTGAAAATGTCTCATAAAAATATTTACTAGATTGAAATACCCCCTCACCATCCCTCTCCAAAGGGGGAGTTTGGTAAAGAGAGATGATCAAACCGATTTGTGCCTTCCTAAAGTTCTCCTTGCTCACTTTCTACTCTCTATATACAATTTTCACACTGCCGTACTCTAAACGGAACTATCAATTCTATACTTTCATCTCCTTATCAATCATATAAAAATTACCACTTTAGTCTGTTATTTGAAATTAGCATCTTCAACTATGTAAATCGTTGACTTCACGCAGAACTAATACAAAAACATATAGCCAAATGTAAATCCTTTGTTAGATTCTAGAAATGACGGAATCTTGCAGATTTTGTCTGCAATAGTCAAGTTTTTTTTCTATGTCTGCGATTCTGTGTCGCGCTTTCCGAGGAACTTTTTTGTTTAAACTCAATGGTTCAAATCTTAGAAAAATCTTTACTGATCATCATTTGAGTATCATGATCAGAGCAGCCCAATATCGTTCGATCGATTGGATTTCGAAAAACTTCATGCAAATGTTGAGGTTCAGGAGAACGAGATAAAAAATAATATCTGTGAAACTTAGCAAATTAGCTTGAAGTTTGAATTTTTTTCAAAAATCTAGAGCTTATGAAAAAAAAAATTATTTTATTTTATTGCTGAGTTAAAAATTAAAAAAAAAAAACTTTCATAATGGCTGATTTCAAATTTGAAACTGTGCAACTATCAATAGGGGTAAAGCATTTTTCACATCACATCACATGTGCAATATGGACTAAAGTGTGAAAATTTAAAGTCATTTGTTATCACGGTTAGAAAGATAATGTGAATTGTTGACTTTTAGTTGAGGACAATTTTTAGCATGTTTAAATAAAAAGGCTTACAGAAGTGATTGTACAATAAATTCAAGGTATTCTAGTTTTTGAATTCTATCAGCAATCCATCTTAAAACCAACTTGACTTGAATCATACAACGAAGATCAAAGTGATGATGGACTTGTTTTCCCATTTATCGAAGCATGATTTGAAGTAACAGTTTTGCAGTCATAACGCCAATCTGTTACGGTTCCGTGACACACATAGATAGACAAACATAGTCGCATCGCCGTCCCGTCAGGTCATTTGCATAGCAGACACCTCATGTCTGTTTCCACGCCACATATAGGTAGTTATATCATCCCATAACCTCATTTGTCACCGGCTGCATAATGCAAATCCAGTCAGTGGTCGGTCGCATCTTTCTTCGCTGCATAGCTCACCCAACCAGACCAGACCGGACAGGCATCAGCATCAGCAGCGAGCCATACCATTCAGCTTAAAGGCGCTAAATTCTTTCAACATCATTTTCTAATCACGCAACAATTACTCTGCTTGCTCTCTTCCGAACAGGTCCACCTGTACTTCTCGGCCATCCCCGAAGATAAGGTCCCGTACGTCAACAGCATCGGCGAGCGACACCGCGTCCGTCAGTTGCTCCAGCAGCTTCCTCCCCACGATAATGAGGTATAAGTCCGTCGTGTGCTCTTAAAGTCCATTTTGCTCGCTGGTTGTTTGTGCTGCTGCTGCTGCTACATTTATAATTGGGGTAGAAATAATAAAAATATAATTTATTCAGTTCTTGTTATTGCACACCACCGCCGACCGCCTTCGCTGCCCGGGCACAGCTTTCTTATTGAAGGCAGCGAGAGAGCGAGTACGTCCGTTAAGTCCGCGCTCAGCACAGAGCAGCGCAGCGGGGTGCAACAACAGCGCAGCGTAGAAATAACCATCGGACAAGCAAGCAAGCAAACAAGCAAACAAACAAACAAACAGCACCGTGTAAAAGTAAATATTTGATCTAATCGTTGGGGTTTGGTTTGCTTTTCGATTTTCCACTCTCCCCTGCAGGTGCGATATTGCCATTCACTGACCGATGAAGAGCGCAAAGAGCTGAAGCTCTTCTCGGCGCAACGGAAGCGGGAAGCCCTCGGCAGGGGCACCGTGAAACAGCTGGCTACGAATCAGATTTGCGACGGGGTATGTGCTCCGGCCGATCGACGTCTGGTTGGATTTAAATTAAATAATTTTCGATTTTCAGTGTGGCGAATGTATTTCTTCCGGTGACATGGGAGTTTACGCTTCACGGTTCGATCCGGGTACGTGCTGGCACCCGGCCTGTTTCGTGTGCTCCGTCTGCAAGGAACTGCTCGTAGATCTGATCTACTTCCACCGAGAGGCTCGACTCTACTGCGGAAGACACCACGCCGAGACGCTGAAACCGAGATGCTCAGCGTGCGACGAGGTATGTATCTGGCCGGTATGGTCTGGAATTTGTCCGGGGCAGTTTTTTATGGACCGTCTTTTCCCACAGATTATACTGGCCGACGAGTGTACGGAAGCTGAGGGTCGGGCGTGGCATATCAAACACTTTGCCTGTTTCGAGTGCGACAAGCAACTGGGTGGTCAACGGTAAGTTTTCTCTCACAACCACGGAATGAACCGGGAGCGTGCGTAGGGTGTCCTCTTTAGTTGACCTAAAGATTACGCAAATGAGAAGAATGTATTTGTACAACCAATTATCGTTCCGTTTTCCCCAGGTACATAATGCGCGACGGCAAGCCATACTGTTTGCACTGCTTCGACGCGATGTTTGCCGAGTACTGTGATTTCTGTAGCGAGCCGATTGGTGTGGATCAGGGTCAAATGAGCCACGATGGTCAGCATTGGCATGCGACGGACAGTTGCTTCGCCTGCAGTACCTGTCGCTGTTCGCTGCTCGGTCGGCCGTTCTTGCCTCGACGGGGTGAAATTTATTGCTCTATAGCCTGCAGCAAAGGTGAACCACCTACGCCATCCGATGGATCAATGCCAACTGTTATGCCCTCTCGAACTCGGCTGCGAGCCCCCGGGCAGCGGACCTTCGAAGACGCACCTACTGAGTACGTACCAAATTTGCCAAAGTCACCCGAACCTCTGCAGAGTCCAATCAGCGAACGAAGCACCCCTTACTCCAGCCCTGCCAAACACTCGCACACGGAAATGTCCACCAACATCTCCAGTCCGATTCCTACCGAATTCAACGACCAGACCTACTCCGTATCAGCGGAAAACGATGTACAAACCTACACCGGAAGTGGTGCTACCTCTCCCATCTCCTCCCGAACGCTTCCCTGCACCGAACCCAGTGACTACGTCGACCACCAGCACCAATCCCTTCCCCCCATCATCCCATCCCATCGTCGAATACCGCAATACTCCCCCGAACTCGATCGACTGCTGCACAAAGATCGAAGTCGACAACCGTTGGACCTCACCGACCTCAGTCTCAGCCTGGACAACTGGCAAGCGGATCACAACTCGACGATCCTCCCCGGTCCCAGTATAGCCACAATCAACCCGTCCCTAACGTCGTCGATGCCGGAGTTGAGTCAGTCGCTACAGTTCCAGCAACAACAACAACAACAGCAGCAATCGCTACCCTACGATGATATAAGCCCGTTGGACAAAGCCAGTGCAATAACCGATCCGGATGACGCCATCCAGAACGCCTCGGATGATGCTTCGCATTCCATTGTCGAGCTGCCCACCCCGCCACCGATAGGTAAGGATCATTTATTTGAAATTGTGATTCTAGTAGTTAGAACCCTTTGTTGGGACAAGGGAAAAACATTCTTTTTGAATTAACATATGGAAGAAAATAATTATTGAAAAATTAATACACCAGCATTGAAGAAATTTCTTAAAGCTTTCCTCGATAATCCTTTGGAATAACCATCATAATTCTATTCATTTGGAAGCCTCCATTTGTTTATGAGTTTTAACCCGATTAAGGTTACTTATACCAATTCTCGTTAGTATTCCTTTTAACCCTTAGAAATCCCTTTAAATTGTCATCAGAATTCTCTTGGATTTTGTATTAGCATTATCATTATCATCGATCAAGTTGCACAATATCGTAGGTGGTACGAATTCAAAACTATTAAGAGCAAGACGGATGTGTATCACTGGACAGATAGTAAGCAGGAAATAATTACTACCTTCCAGATAAAGACATATTCCTCTCCAACAGTTAAGGATTGTCCTGGCCACGTCCTTGCAACTGCTATATAGGGATAGGAAAGGTATGTTACTCAAACATTTACTTAAGAGCGATGCAGAGAACTCTACGACCCCTCATAAATGCCACGGGAATTTAGGAATTATGTTAGTAGGGAAGGTAAGCCATAGGATACACCACTAGCGTGCACAGGAATCTTGTTAAGGAGGGGCATTTTTTTTTCTATGGTGCATTGTGCATTTAATCTGGGGATGAGAAGTACTCCAAAGTGCGTGGGAGATGGTGCTGTCCAACCACTTCTGTGTCCCTATTGATTAATTTAGATAATTTTATTTAATTTTTGCTTCGGTGGTGGTTTATCTTCTTCAAAGCAAACTGCTTTCAGACAACCAATGGAAATTGGCAATTTAATCCCATCGACTATGTCGATGATGAACCGTCCCAAAGTACCGCCAGTCGGGGTGACAGAAAATGATGCCGAACATATTCAACATGTATTAAAGATGATACAAAGGACAAACCCGAATTTACTGCAACGTACATAAACAGTTGTAACTTTTTGACCACAGTAACAAATGGCTTGAAATTTTCAGATGAATTTTTAGTAAGACAACAATAGACCAAGGTTCAATGGCAAACTAATACCCACTTTACAATTAGGGAATCCAAAAGCTGTCTTTAAACAGTTGCAAAAAAGTCCAACCTCAGAATTCCTTGAGATTCTTTTCGAAAGTTTTAGAACTCTATGAGCTCTTTTGAAATACTTCTCAATCTGAAATTATTTTTAGAACTTATTTTTACTCACAATACCTTGGAACTAAAATTCCCTAAGAGTTTCAGAAGAATTTTCTCAGTATTATCCAGAAATTATTCCCGGAATGAGCTAGAAATTTTCCTCAAAATCCCTTTGGAATTTCACTCTAAATTTAATTTTCTCGGTATTCTTTTTGGTATTATCTTGGAACTATCAGCAGGATTCACTAGAAATTATTCACAGAGTTTTTTGGAATACTCCCCAGAAATCCATTGGAACTGTTCTCAGAATTCAATATCCTTGAGGTTCTTCTCGATTTTTTTTTAGAACTCTCCTAAGAGCTCTTTTGAAATTCTTCTCAGAGCTCAACTGGAATTATACTTAAAACTCTTCAGGATTTTTTCTCAGAACACCTTGGAACTGAAATTCCTTTAGAGTTTCAGATTTTTTTCCCGGAATGAGCTAGAAATTATCCTCGGAATTCACTTGAAATTTTGCTTAAAATCCGTTTGGAATTTCACTCCAACATTGATTTTCTCGGTATTCTTTTCGAAATTATCTTGGAACTATCTGCAGGATGCTCTAGAAATTATCCACAGAATTTTCTTTGAATTCTCCCCAGAAATATTTTGGAACTGTCCTAAAAATTCAATATCTTTGAGGTTCTTTTCGGAATATTTTTGAACTTTTTTTTTTCAGAACGCCTTGGAACTGAAATTCCCTTAATGTTTCAGAAGAATTTCCTCTGTATTCTCCAGAAATTCTTTCCAGAATGAGCTTGAAATTACCCTTGGAATTTCCTTGAAATTTTCCTCAACATCCCTTTGGAATTTCATTCAAAATTTGATTCTCTCGGTATTCTTTATAAAAATTATCATGGAACTAAATATCTGCAGGATTCACTAGAAATTATTCGCACAATTTTCATGAAATCATCCCCAGAAATCTTTTCTTCTGAAACTGTCCTCAGAATGCAATACCCTTAAGGTTCTTCTCGGAAATGTTCAATAAAGCTAGCCCCTCCATTCACCAGAACTGTGCAATTTTTAAAAAGGAATTTTCAATCCAGACAATTTCAATTGACCAGAACGATGCAAATTTTCCACCGTTAATGTTCAATAAAAATTGCTTCTCCAATCTTCTGATTGGTGTAGATATCCTTTTTCCATTTTCCACCAGACATTTTCAATATAGATTGCTTCTCCTATCATCAGAATGTTGCAGCTTTTCCACTAAATAAAGATGGCCCCTATTTTCAGATTGTTCATCATAAATCTACAGTAAAGCAGCTTCCCTCCAATCATCAGAATGGTGCAAATTTTACACCAGAAATTATTATTAAAATTTGTTTCTCTATTCAGCTAAAGAATGCAAAATTAAGACCAAAAATTTTCCGAAAAGCTTGCCCATCCTTTCACCAGAACTGTGCAGATTTTCCACCAGAAATTTTCAATGTAGCTTAATTTAAAATGCAGCTTGTGCCCTCATTTACCATACCAGTGCAAGTTTTCCACCAGAAATATTTTGTTCATTTCATTTATCAGAGCGATGCAAATTTTGCACCAGAAACTTTCAATAAAGCATGCTCCTCCATTTTTTTCACCAGAACTGTGCACCAAAATTTGTCAGTGAAGTTTGTTTCACCATGCACCTTCGTGGTGCAATTTTCTGGCTTTGCCTCTTCATGCAAATTTTCCATGTATGAAGCTTGCATACATCAGAACGATGCAAATTATGCACCAGAAAAATCAATAAACCTTGCTTCTACATTCACCACAGTGTTGCGAATTTTCCACCAGAAGTCAACGCTCGCCCTGGCAAATCGACGTCACCATCGAGTAGGAGAAGACTTCCCCTACCCGATGGATATGTTGGTATGTGTAGGCGTGCTATGAATTCCTAGAAATCAACGAGAGAAACCCTTGTTTACAAAAGCTGATTGCCCTAATTCCAGCTCTATCTAGAAATGTCAGAGAGAGTGACGATGGAAAATCTGGGGGATCATAACTGGGCCCTATGGAAGTACAAGATTACTCTGGTGCTCGGAGAGAAAGGCCTAGCAGACATAGTTAAAGCGGAGGTTACGGCGATCCCAATGAAGGACTGGCTGTTTCGTGATGGATCGCTCAATCAGTCATTGGGCTGGCACTGGAAGACTCCCAGTTGTACCATGTGTTAGGGAAATCACGACTCTCCACCAGTATCACGAGCGGAAGTCGATGTCGGGAAATGTTTACCTGCTCCGTCGGTTGATATCCCTGCGTTTGACGGACATGGCTGATCATCTGTCGCTCATTACCATGCTGGTCAATCGCCTCGCTTGAATCGGAGAAAGGTTTTCGGATCACTGGTTGATCGCAATCTTATTATCGAGCCTGCCGGTGTCCTACAACGTCGGCTATATTTATTAACTTTGGATTTGTGAAGGGTCGTTTGCTGGAGGAATGGCGACGACGAAGCGAGCACGGGCAGCATCAGCAGTCTCCACACGAGGAAAAAGTGCTGCAAGCGGGTAAAACGAAGTTCAAGTGCCACTACTGTGGAAAGGAAGGACACTACAAGCGCGATTGCCGGAAGCACAAGCAGGATCAGCAGAGGAATGAAACTGGCTCATGGCTCACCGCTGATGGCTGATTCGTCGCACCGTGAACACATTAGCCTGGCTGATGTGAAGACTGTATTCTACGAAGGCGCCTGGATGCGGATAACGGAAAGGGTCGTTCCGTTGATCTGAAGCAGAGGAATGTTCTGCACGTACCAGTTTTGACAAACAATCTGCTGTCCATCAGCAAGTTCGCCGACGAAGGGTTCGGGGTGGTGTTTGATCGGAGCGGATCCAGACTAATGGCGAAAATGTCGTCGTTGGAGTTCGCAACGGGAACCTGTACCAACGAAAGCTCCATAATGAACAATCTTTGCAAGTAACAGCGAGCCATCGGGAAGATTGCCAGCACATGTGGCACCGTCGCTTGAGCCACCGCAACCCCAAGGACATTAGCAAGATTGTGCGTGAGGAACTCGGAAGGGACTTGACGCTGGTCGACTGCAGTATCCGGTCGATGTGCTCGGCGTCCTGTTAAGGGAAGCTGTCGTGTTTGCCCTTTCCCAAGAAGTCACAGGAAAAGTCTTCGTCTTCTTCTTCTTCTTTCCTTTATTTAACGTCGGTCTCTATTCTGCAATCTAGTGCCAATCACCGACGGACATCGATTTCCATCCATTGACGGCAATCGAATGTGCAGGAAGGCAGCTTCCACACCTGCGTAGGATATCGCACCCATTCATCAACACACATGGGCCGGGACCAACGGCTTTACTTCCCTTCCGAAGGAAGACGTGACCAGAGATTTTTATGCCTCAGAAAAATCCCACCGACCTCGACTGGGATTGAACCCAGACCCATTGGGGTGAGAAAGCAGTCACACTTACCACTACACCACCGGCGCCGGCACACAGGAAAAGTCGAAGGAAGTGCTGGACATTATTCATACCGATTTGTGCGGACAGTTGGAAGTTCCGACGCCGAGCGGCAATCGTTTTATCATGACTATGATTGATGATTGCAGCTTCTATTGTGTTGTGTACCTGTTGCAACGGAAATCACAAGCGGAGGAGAAGATCGAAGAATACATCCATCAGGTTCGTACGCAGTTCGGCAAGGTGCCAAAAGTGATCAGAAGGAAGTGATGTCCAAGAAGCAAATCGAAGTTGATTCGACAACGGTCGCCGAGGAAGAGTTTCTTTCAATGAAGCATGGAAGTGTAGAGTCAGCTTGCGAAGGATTTCCTGAGCACGAGATTCGTCGTTGTTCGGAGCGGGTGAACAATGGGAATCCACCGGCCCGTTTATTCAAAGACATCAAAGCTGCTAGCACGAGTTTGAACCGTCATCGTACCAAGAGGCAATGCAGTGTCCGCAAAAGCATCTTTGTTTGAGGGCGATGAACAAAGAGTAACGTCACACCGAGTGTTGGGAAAATGGAAGCTGATGGAACTTCCACCGGATCGTTGGGTAGCCGATGGGTATATAAAGTGAAGCGCAACGAGAACGGAGATGCAGCTAAGTACAAAGCACGCCTTGTTGCGAAGGGCTTTGGCCAAAAGTACGGCGTTGATTTTGAAGATTTTTACACACCCGTAGCAAAGCATGCGACGCTGTGAGCGTTGTTAGCTGTAGCTATGTAATAGTAAAACTCTTCCGATCAACTGAGGTATAAAATTCCTGCCCAGGACTTTGATCGAAAACTGCCAGAAGCGGATAGAACGGGATTTTTGTTTCGAGCGTGCAACCAATGCCTACTGTGATTCTATACACTCTTAAGAGAAATATTGAAAAATTTAATTATTATTATGTCTTGAGCGCTGCCATTTTTAATTTGTCCAAATTGTTTCTTTTTTAATCTTTAGAATCTTACATTTCCTGGTTGGGTCGTCTAATTAACATTGGTTTGCTTCCTAAATGATGCATCATACATCTAGAAATATAACTGGATATTTTTCAATACTGAGAACATCGTATATTGCTGATTATGTAGATCTTCAAATTCTCACATTTCTAAACGTTAAACATAAATCAATCACTACATCCACCCCCACCCCTTCTCCATTTCAGTAATTAAGAAAGAAGTCCGCTTCGAGGGTGACTTCCAGGACTCGTTGCCCCGCTCCAAGAGCTACTGCACCCGTTCCGGTGGTTCGCGGACGCGTTCCTCCAAATCCAAGCGCCGGTCGTCGCACCACCACCAACACCACGGTAGCCATCGGTCGTCCGGTGAGAGCAGCAGCTACGGCTACGATCGCCATCACTCGTCGTCTTCCTCCTCGTCCAACAAGCGATCGCCGCGCCGGAGACGCGTCCCGGACGTGGAAATCATCGAACAGCAGGCCGACCCGGCCGACGACGATTCGGACACCCGAAGCGTTTGCTCGACCTGTTCGTCGAGTTCGTCCAGCGCGGACGATACCGTATACGAGCTGCCCACGAGGCGGACCTACGGCGGAACGCGAGTCCACTATATGCCAAACAATTCGCTTGCCTGTGCCCGCAAGCGGAAGCAACTGCAGAGTAGCCATCCTTATGAGAAAGACAATAAGAATTGTATCATATCGTGAAGTGGGAGGAGTGAACCGTTATTTGTGAAGTAGGTACAATGTGTAGAAGTGTATATTTTTTGGACCCAGTAGTAAATAGTTGCAGTTTCAGGTAGTGATACAACCACAATGTGAATCAAATCATTGATTTATAATCAAAAAAAGAGTTTTAGGGACAGAGATAGCTCGGTTTGAATCGAAAGTTTGCATGTATTTTGATTATTCATTTTTTTCGGGTTGACATTTTAGATTACGGATTGAATATTTAACTGAACGAAATACTCTTGAGGAAATTATAGGAACTGTGAGATTCAAGTATTCATATCGCAACATAGACCGATACGTTTAAGCATGGAACGTTTTCCGATGCTCATATCGTAAGTGTAAGAATATTTTTATACACATTAGAGTTTGATAGGATTAAATTTTTATCGAAAAGTTGAAAGAGAAACGGGCGAGGTAGATTTGTACTGCACAAGTGATTGATATCACATCCTTTTTTAAATATGTTTTGAGCCTGCAGAACGGATGTTGCCTGCAGAAGAGAAAGAGAGTACAGTGAAGATCATATTTAGCAGAGAACCCGGGTGGACTCATCCGCTTCAATCCGCTGACTTTTCGCAATTGGATAGGACATTCGGTCGGTTAAAGTGCATGGACATTGCAACTCGAAGTGATTGCATCAGGACCAAGATCGGAGTGAAATCGGGCGGCGCGCATTGAGCTGTATTTGATCGCTGTTCATCAAATTCCAAGTAAGTAACTTCGTTTCTAGTGCAGTTATGGCTATTCGTTCGGTGTGTAACTGGATTTAATAATTGGAACACACCATAATAGGAACGTATGGTACATGTACTTTTGTTGACTTTGATCATTGCAGCTTTTGGGCGTTGAAGTTCTCCTAAATCATTAGAATATCTTGCAAGCTGGCTTTAATAATTGATTAAATGTCAATGCAAATTTAATTTCAATTCAATTCATGAAAACAGTTGAAAAGTTGTAGATCACGGACATCGAAACTAAAATGAAGATTTTGGGATTATGCAATTTTGGGCTGCGGAATATTTCAAGTTTCCAAAAATGCACGGCCATTGAATCTGACTGATATCTGATTTCCTTTTACTCAAATTCGCAAAAATGTATGCCGCTCATAGACTGAGTAAATGAAACTAATATAAGATTAAATGTAAATGTCTCTCAAATCTGAGTGACATTTACTCATATTTGAGTAAAATTTTACATAGTCTATGAGTGACCTATACGTTGTTGTGAATTTGGGGCAACGGAAATTAAATATGAGTCAGACTCTACGGCCGTGTGGTAACGATAAAATTGCATGGCTTGGAAAATTCGTGATTCTGAAGTATCTGAAAATTGATAACACTTTTGAGACTTCTGACTCGGTGATACAGGGCGGATGGTTTGAGTTTACCCCCTTACTGTAAAGCATTTTTGTTTACTACAAAAAGGGTACTTATAATTATACCACAGATAAACAGACTCACTGTAAAACATCGTCGTTAAAACATTACCGCCATCTGTTGAGTACACTGTGGTGGGCAGTACGCTGAACAGATGGCAGTAGTGTGTAAATGTCAAACGCTAGGGAATTGACTATGCGCATCACAGGTGGCGGTACTAACAACTACGATACTTTTAAATTAACCGCTAAATGCTTGTTCGATGAAAATCTTCGGAGTGTTGTGTCTGTTTGTCTATGATTATACGATTGTATTTAAACACTCTTTTCCATTTATCAATATTTTTGAAGCCATGCTAAAGGTAAAGGGAAGTTACCCCTTCTAATTTAGTAATTGTTGAAGACTGTACACCTACGGTTCCCAGCCATACACATTCCTAACACTCCCAAATTGAAATTGTTGAATCATAATTTTCATAAATTTTCAATTCAGCTTCAAATTATTACAAAATTATCAAACGAAACTGTTCCATTAAATTATTAAAGAAAAATTGCAGGAACTTTACAGTTGTTAGCAAATCTTGAATTTAATTTACAGATCTGAAAGAAAGTTCCGTGAATTTTGGGTCAGTTCTGAGAACTTTAAAGCAGTCCCATGAATATCAGGAAAATTGCGAAATCTTCAGGGAAGTACGGAGAGCTTAAGATAAATCTCAATAATTTAATTCAGAAAAAATATCAAGAATTTTCAAGATGCTCCAAAAGTTAAAGATAATTCAGAGAAGATCAAGAAAGTTCAGAGAATTTAAGATTTTTTTTAATCTTCCCTGAGAATCAGGTAAATTCAAGGAAGTGCAGAATACGTGTTCAATTTAATAGATCTTCACGGAAGTTTCGTTAATTTCAGTTCAAGGTCACATCCTGAGAAGAATGACAGGAGCTTCAGGAACGATTAGGGAACTTCAGGGTGGTGCACAATATGTTTAGGAGCCTCAATGACGTTCCGAGGAATGACAAAATACCGAAGATCTCGGGGAAGTTTCTTGACCTGATTGCGGAATAATAAGCTAAGTTCTGAGAACTTCGTTAAAATTCCGGTCACTTCCTGGAAGCACCAGGGACTCCCAGGTCAACCGGTGAACACTCGTGTTTATTTCAGTTACCGTGGGGACGTAATTTGTGATTAGCCCCGGTCCCTTTCAAATTGTATCATTATTTATGTACGGTCCTTATATTTGAAATGACGTTTCACATTCATCTAGTGATGGCCGATTTTCATTCGAACAATCGATTAATCGATTAACGAACCGAACAGTAAAATATTTGTAATCGGTTATATCATGCCGATAGAAACATTAACTTCTGCAGAGGATCATCACCGATCGTTTCAAACAAGTTTTGCACTCTCATTGATGGAAACATGACAGCACAGCGAAAAAAAAATGTTCGATAAGTTGTTAATCGAGTTATTAAAAAATGCGACATCTCTGATTTTGGTGTGATTGTTTTGATAAAAAAGCGCGCAAAATTTCATCTCTACCGAGGGGGCAGCAAAACCACAAAATTACCATGAATACGGGGGGTATTCATTGGATGAAAGGGACCGTGAAAGAGGACACTAAAATAGAAAGTTTTTCATCCGACAGTTTCATCTTAGTATTCATCTTTGCCCAGGTGGTTGCATCTGCTTCAAGGAAACTGCCGAATCTTTTAAGAAGTGTTAAATCAAAAAAATACTAGAGAAGATCTTGAAAAAAATTGTGGATACTTTTGTAGAAACTCCAAAAACCTCAGACAAGCTAGGCCTAAAGATCTTCAGGCAAGTTCAGAAATCTTAAGGGCAGTTCCAAGAACTTTAGGACTTTTGGGGATGTCTAATGATCTGTAAAGATTAGTTTCGATAAATTCAGTAAATTTCGATAAACTTTTAGAAGTTCTTCAAAAGTGGCGCTGGTGGTGTAGTGGTAAGCGTGATTGCCTCTCAAACCAAAGGGTCTGGGTTCAATCCCAGTCGGTGCAGCTGGGATTTTCTAACGCATAAAATCTCTGATCCCGCCTTCCTTCGGAAGGAAAGTAAGGCCGGCTAAGCTCGTGTGAACAAACGCTATGGAAGCATTGTAATTTTTTATCAGTTGAAGGATGCCCTAACAGAGCTTCACAATATCGAAAACTACTAATCAAAAAGACTGGCAACTGTTCCCTTCTCCCATACAAATATCAAACGTCACTGATAACGGCGCCTCTAACAATCAAAGGTGGAACATTGAAGCACAAGTGCTAGTGAGACTGCTCATTAACAGTGACTGTGTGTGTGACCTAATGTCACCGAAATGAATAATCATTACACGGTACTCGTTGTTGTTTTTGTTTCGCTCTGCAAAATTTCACGGCAATTTCTATCCTAATCACAGCAAGCCGGTGGTTTTCCAACTCCAAACCGAAAAACTTGTCATGGTGAATCAAGTAGAGGATTGAAACTCGGATCGATACCTAGTGAAAGTAACTTTTACTTGTGTACGTTGGCAGCTTCCCCCTCCGTTGAGTGAACTACCGTCATTTGAAAGCTGCTGAAAATTCAAGGATTCAAAAAGAAGAAAGATCCTGCACCTACATCACGATCCAACGGAAGGCGTAGCAGGATCTAATGTTGGAGAAAATGAAAATGAAAGGTTGAAGGACTACAATCCCAAACGGTACGTATTGATAAAGAATATTTTTTCTAATTTAACCACCGACAAACCGACATGACACTTAATTCTGACTTATGCCCGAAAATCGTAAACGGTCGATTTATATGTGCAGTGATCCGAACTGTTAGAACCATAGGATTTTTTGATCTAGATAAAAATAATTTGTCCATTATAGATCAGACACGAACCAATTCATTACTTTTGCATGCGGGTTCATGGCTTAGCTAAATATTTCCCGCGAACACGGAGCCAGATGTCAGTAGTCAGTAATTTTATTGCTTTTGCTATGGTCATTCATGTCGGTTTGTCGGTGATGGAACCACCGGATAGTATATTTAACCATTTCTTGGAATCGACCGACCCCTTCCAGAGAATGATAACAACAGTGTCGGATTGGCTAGTGACATTCAAATGGTCAGCGAGTACTGTGCCAAGTTGCCGAGCGTCACAACTTAACTCCCCCCGCTGTTGCCAGGTGCCAAAGCCATGCGGAACGGGCATGCATTTTACTAATGCACCCTACGAATGCTCATAAATGCATCACTAAAGGGCTTAGGAAAAGTGGAAGATAATTCTGATCGAGGAAGGTCCCACCATCATTGTGAGTGGCATCATTACCATAGTTTTAACTTTTAAAAGAAATTTACTTACGCATCTGTTCAATTATTTATTTATTTGATAAGGCTCAATTGAATTAACTTTACAGAGCCGAGGATTCTTGTTCACTATAAAATACATCTTAAAACTATAGTAAATAGGTACAGCCTAGGGTACGCAATAACCTTTAACTCTAACGCAGGGAACGGCTGTAATTAAATTAATTCCATTAACTACTGCTTTAATTACATTAATTACACAATGTAGAACATTATACACTTTTTAACTCCATTAATAACAGTCGATATTTCGTAATTAAAGTACATTAATTACATTTTCAATACTTTTAATTACATTAATTACGGATAGATAATTTTAATTACCGTCAGTACTACTTCAAAACGCATTAATTACTTTAAGTACTTTTAATTAAATTTTAACTTAACTTGTTCTTTGTATTGCGTGCCCCTCGAGTACAGCACAATAAACACGTTATCTTCCGCTATCCAATAAGCCTGCTCCATCAGAACGGAAGCCGCTTCCAGTGATGTTATTGCATGGCAGTATCGCCAACGGGGGGCAAAGCGCTTCCATTGCAGCAATGGACGCAAAACGTGGTCAGCACTCACACACTCATCACGAATTGGTTGCTTTACAAAGTCGACGACGCATCAACCGAAAGAACTGCTGATGAAGAACAATAAGGAGGACCACACAGTGGCTGGTGCCGAGTAAACAGACGAT